TGTGTGTGGGTCTGTGTGTCTCTGTCTCTGTGCGTCTCTGTGTGTGTGTCTGTGTGTCTGTGTGTGTGTGTCTGTGTGTCTGTGTCTGTGTCTGTGTCTGTCTGTGTGTGTGTGTGTGTGTGTCTGTGTGTCTGTGTCTGTGTCTGTGTCTGTCTGTGTGTGTGTGTGTGTGTGTCTGTGTGTCTGTGTCTGTGTCTGTGTCTGTCTGTGTGTGTGTGTGTGTGTGTCTGTGTGTCTGTGTCTGTGTCTGTGTCTGTCTGTGTGTGTGTGTGTGTGTGTCTGTGTGTCTGTGTCTGTGTCTGTGTCTGTCTGTGTGTGTGTGTGTGTGTGTCTGTGTGTCTGTGTCTGTGTCTGTGTCTGTCTGTGTGTGTGTGTGTGTGTGTCTGTGTGTCTGTGTCTGTGTCTGTGTCTGTCTGTGTGTGTGTGTGTGTGTGTCTGTGTGTCTGTGTCTGTGTCTGTGTCTGTCTGTGTGTGTGTGTGTGTGTGTCTGTGTGTCTGTGTGTGTGTGTCTGTGTGTGTGTGTGTATCTGTGTGTCTGTGAGTGTCTGTGTCTCTGTGTCACTGTGTGTGTGTGTCCGTGTGTGTGTTTGTGTGTCTGTGTGTGCCTGTGCCTGTGCCTGTGTGTGTCTGTTCACCTGCAGTTTCTAACAGTGGGATCAGCCATGCAAGGAGAACCAGAGCACCTTCTGTTACAGCCTTAGCAGTGGGATCAGCCCTGTAATGAGAACCAGAGCACCTTCTGTTACAGCCTCAAACGAAGCCTTATGCTGTCAGCTCCCAGCATTTCTAACAGCACTAGGCATTAATTAATAAGAAATAAACTGAGTTTGCACTTGATTTCCCAATTTCTTTAAAATTTGCAGTTTGGCTTCTTCCAATCCCCCTTGCCCACTTCGGGGTTTTAAATGAGTTTAAAGAGTCTAATAATTCCTAGGTGTGTTTATTTCCAATTACAGCAGGCACAGGGCATTGCATTTACCCTTTGAGAGCTCTGTTTGCTCGTTCAGTGTCAGTGTCTCTTTGCTAGGGTGGAGTCCTGTGTTCCTGGCCAAGACCATGGGAGCAGCACTGGCGAGATCGGCTCAGTGGACAGCTACTGGCCCTGGGACTGGCACACTCGAAATCACCCCTTTGAATGAATCTCTTTTAAACCAAATTATCAAGTTCACAGAGGACTTGAGCACTAAGCATCCTCAGGAAGCTGCGTTTGTCTTCAGAGAGCCCCTTGAGTGGACAACACAGTTGGACTGTTCAGTGTTTGGAGAGGGTTATGAGATCAAGTAAGTCTCAACTGCAGCATGTTTTGAACTGTGAAGCAAAATGCTGCTCATTTAGCATAAAGAAAGCCTTAGTGTGTTTGGGAGGCTGAAATGGCTAAAATGGTTTTACTGATATATGCTGAAAATTTGAAGCTAAAATTTGTAAGGTTTTTTTGAGGGTTTGAGGCCATTCTATCTTGTTTGTGATGCAAACCTCTTTAGTTAGTGACCTCTACAACTTGCAGTGTCTATTCCTAGGAGTTTTTACAACATATGTCTATCAGTGGTTAACTATGTGACTTCTCTTTGTGGTAGGAGTTGCTCAGGTGTGGTGGGTTGACTTTGGGTGGTTGCCAGCTGTCTGCCAAGCTACTCTATCACTCCCCTCTTACACTGGACAGAGGAGAAAAATACAGCAAAAAGCTCATGGATTGAGATAAGGACACGGAGAGATCATTCACATCTTGCTGTCGTGGGCAAACTGGACTCGACTCGCAGAAATTAATTTAATTTACTACCAATCAAAAGTCAGAGTAGGATAATGAGAAATCAGGTCTTAAAACTGTGTACCTTCCTCCCACACCTACTTCTCCCCAAGCTAAACTTGACTACTGATTTGCTTTAAGCTCCTCATCCCTGAGTGTCACAGGCAGTGGGGAATGAGAGTTATGGTCAGTTCATGACAGGTTTTTGCTGATGCTCCTTCCTCCTCATACTCTTCCCCTGCTCTCTTTCCCAGAGGAGACAATCCTGCACAAACCTCTCCAAGATGAGTCCTTCCCATGGGCTGCAGGTCTCCACAACCTGCTCCAGTGTGGGTCCCTTCCACAGGAACAGACTGCTCCAGTGTGGGTCACCCATAGGATCCCAAGTCCTGTCAGCAAACTTGCACCAGCATGGGCTCCTCTCTTCCTGGGTCCACAGGTTCTGCCAGGAGCCTGCTGTAGTGCAGACTTCCCATAGGGTCACATCCTCCAGGCCTAGCCACCTGCTGATTTGCAGTGAATAAATTGGTTTACCTTGAAAGTTTCCTGAAATGCAGTTTAAAGGAATTGTATATGTTTTATTATGTGATGCTCGAATAATGCTCGAGATTCTTCTCAATTAATGTTCTTATTTTAAAAAGATGTAATTTCTGCTCCAGTTCACCCATAGGATCCCAAGTCCTGTCAGCAAACTTGCACCAGCATGGGCTCCTCTCTTCCTGGGTCCACAGGTTCTGCCAGGAGCCTGCTGTAGTGCAGACTTCCCATAGGGTCACATCCTCCAGGCCTAGCCACCTGCTGATTTGCAGTGAATAAATTGGTTTACCTTGAAAGTTTCCTGAAATGCAGTTTAAAGGAATTGACCCATAGGATCCCAAGTCCTGTCAGCAAACTTGCACCAGCATGGGCTCCTCTCTTCCTGGGTCCACAGGTTCTGCCAGGAGCCTGCTGTAGTGCAGACTTCCCATAGGGTCACATCCTCCAGGCCTAGCCACCTGCTGATTTGCAGTGAATAAATTGGTTTACCTTGAAAGTTTCCTGAAATGCAGTTTAAAGGAATTGTATATGTTTTATTATGTGATGCTCGAATAATGCTCGAGATTCTTCTCAATTAATGTTCTTATTTTAAAAAGATGTAATTTAATTTTTCTAGTGAAACAACTGTTCAGTCTGAAGCCAAAAGTAAAGATGAGCAACCACTGCTTCTCCTCTCAGCATCAACTCTCAGAGTTCGCAGTTTTGACCAGCTGTCCCACTTGCTACAAATTGCTACTGAGAAAAAGTTAAAGGAAGCACAAGCATGCCTTGAAGGTTTCCTTTCTTCTATTTTTTTTCATCTTTCCTCTCTTAAAAAGCATATCTTCTACAATTCATTTTTATGAAATGTGCTGAAAGATGTGCCTTCATTTTAAGTAGGTGAGGTCTTAATTCATGAAAGCTAAAGGTGCTGATCCAGAAGTTATTGAAGTTTCCATTTCTTCTTTTATTTACACAGAAATTAATAACAAAGAAATCTGGAATAAAGTTAAAATAAAACCATTGAATCTCATATAAAAGTTCATATATACTGAGTAATATCTCAGTTATTGCAACAGAGAATAGGCTTAAATTTCTAAAAAGATTGTCTTATTTGAGGCTAATCACAGTTTTTCCTATGTATGTAGTTGAATATTCTTTTAAAACATGACACCCTTAAAAAAGAAAAGTAAAAAAATTACATGCTGAAGACATTCTTACCTGCAGAATGTTCACAGTGAGTACTTCCAGATTCCTTCTCCCAATGACTTTAAAATATAGATACAAATACTTCTACTGTGTCATCTTCAAGTCCTAGATTTTCAAACAGACCAGAAGACATTTGATATGCTAAACTGGATATCCTCCTTCTACCTGGAGGTAGAAGAGATCAGTGATATTCTTTAGTAACATTAGTAGAAATTGCATCTGCAGTACTAAAATATAAATGCTCATACTGGATCAAGCTTCAGATCCATCTAAGCCAGGGTCCTGTCACTGACAGTGATCAACCATGAATAATAGGGAAGGATAATATGGACAGTGTATCATGCAGAACCATTCACAGATGGACTAACAGGGCAAAATGGTTTTGTCAAACACATTGACATGCAGTTATGTCACTGTTTACCAAAAAGAACAGCTGGCATAGCTGAGGAAGTAATGGGGCCATTGGGAATGCTGCTACAAAACCTTAAAGATGTTCTTTAACACAAAATCATATTTCCAAAATGATTAATTTTCAGAGTTAAGCCCATTGAGTTCCTGTTTTGGGAAATCAGCCAGGCATATTTTTGGGAAAGTGGAGTGTTGATAGAGGAACTATTTAATATTCACCCCTTGGTTGAATGAATCTTACTCTTTGCTGTGAAGAGCAGTTTGTTCATTATGAAAAAATTCTTTCTGTTCTTAATGTTTTCATATTCTTGAAACTACATTTCAAATTGCAATGGAGGGATGTGAAAGAACACATCATACAGTAGTATTTGATGAACAACTACGAACATTATAAAGTTCTTATTGTAAATTAATAGGATCAAAATCATTCAGCAGTTGAAATAAAAAGCATTTGTCTTACCTAATTATTTAAAACACAGTAGGACATTACATGGTTCTGTTTCATGTCTACAGCTAACAGAGATCCTATAGTGAAAATTCTTGGCCCTGAATTTGGGACTGTTGAAGGAGAAGATATGTCCATCTTGCATTTATTTGACAAAGTGAAAAAAGATGATGACCCTGAAACAGAGATCAAAATGAAAATCATTCTTCTTCTTCATCAGCTGGATTTGCAACTGCTTAATAGTTCTTTGAAACAGATTTCGCAGTAAGTTCATTTCAAATGGAAGCTCAGCATCTCAGCCAGTGCATTTTTTTTCTTTTACTGTTAAATCAGATTGGTTTCAACCCACAACATGTGTTCTTGGTGTGGCATAAAGAAATTTATTGAAATAACTTTCACTGTTGACTAAGTTATTGAAAAAACATTTTTTTTTTTAAATTTTTCTGTAGGTGTGGGTATGCAAGTGTGTGCCCACTAGTGTGGTTTTTTTATTGCATATGTTTTGCATTTTGGTAGCAAATTGAAGTCATTTGTACAAACAACAAAGTTGCAGTTCAATATTTTCAAGGAAATATTTATTTCTTCATGGAACTCTATTAAGTATTACATTGAGTCTGTTTCATAGTTACAAGGATTTTGTATCAGGTATGGAATCAAAATTTCACTAAATAGACAAAATTAAGAAAATCAGTGAATGATGAGTCATTTTCATGTTTTTGTTGCTATTATTGACATTGAATAGAAAAGAAAAAATACTGTGATATCTGCTTTTCATTTATGTGACTCTCTCCTTTTGATGAATGCATTTTAGACCATTTTCTATTCATTGCAGAGATATAAGACTAAATCCAGCTGCTGTAAATAATGAAGTGAATCTTCTCAAGAATTTCTCTGGGAAAGGAGAAGATACAGTACTAGAGTCACTGGAATATACATCAGGTCCAGATCTAATCATATCTCACTTTTACATAGACCTTTATTAAAGTACTCGATATCTGTGTGAAATTTTCTGACTTAATTTCAGTAATACATGTAAAGTGTTTATTTCTACCTTAAAGCTGCAAAGTAAAATAAAAAGTATTTTCAGATTTGCAATGTTGTTCTTCAGCCTTTACTTACAGAAATAATCTCCCAATTATATGAATATCTTCAGTGGAAGTATAGGAAGTGAATTGAGTCTCTGATCCTGAAAAGTGTGAAGCACAGTTACAGTTCTTGGTGGGATTGGGCCATGGGTCAGAGAGTTCTGCATGGTGAATAACTAACTATGAATTCTTAAGAGCAAGGTGTTGTTTTGGGAATTTGATTTGTGTCTGTGCTATATTGATCATTGAGCATAACTTCCCTTCCCTTCCCTTCCCTTCCCTTCCCTTCTCTGCTCTACTGTGAATTCTTAAGAGCAAGGTGTTGTTTTGGGAATTTGATTTGTGTCTGTGCTATATTGATCATTGAGTATAACTGTTCAAAATACTTTCCAACTGGATAAAAACACTAATTCGAACTGGTTACAGATTACGTGTTTGCTAATGGATGTCGAGCTCCTCCCTGGAGACAAGTGCATGGAGAAATTTGTTATTTAGTCATCAAACCCCATGACACTGATCCTTTGTGTATCACTTGCAGCACAGCAGGAGTGTTTTTAAACGGTGTAAGTAATAATAAAGGATACCAGGGGGTAATAAATATTCTTATGTGCTAAAAGCCAAACTCAATCAGGTTTAGGGTAGTGGTACCTTGTCTGTAAGACCTGCAGAGCACACAGAAGGAGAAGCCACAGTAATAAATTTTCCCAAATGTTTTGAGTGAGTTTTTGTAAGTTTTATACTAGAAGTGTGTTCTGCACCCTTTCCTAGCAGTGTTTGCTTAGCCTTAGAATGTGCACTAACAGTTCTTCACTACCTGTTTAAAGGTACTGGTGGGACTAGATGCCTCTCTAGTGCCTTGATGGTCTTGATCTGAGGTGTGATATTATTGTTTGTGGCTAATAGAGTTTGCTTTTGTCTTTTTATAAATGATAAGCAGTTCTTTCTCCTGTCAGTGGAAGCTTTTCAGAAATTATTTTTCTTTCTCTTTTCCTTTGCATTTTTCCTTTCAGATGGGTTTTATTTAGGCATACTACTCCCTTAGGTGGGTTGGGTGGCGCCCAGAGCTCTTGCATTCTTCCATCATTTTGAAGAGAAACTGATGCCTGTGAGGCATAACTCCACTAATTGATTTCCTAAGGGTTAAAAAATCCAGGGAGATACTGACTTGGCACATTTTTAATGGATGAAGCTCCTAAAGCTTAGGCAGTTGGGTCACATTATTTTCTGAGCCTTTTAGACGTCTGCCATACTGCACTGGAAGCTCATATTTATTTACTTGGTAGTTTGACATAAGCCATAAATTCTTTTCAGTGGAACTGCACATGGTACAATTAACTGATAGTAATTGCCTGCAAAATTCTGTATAAGATCTTTGTCATCTGCTGGGATCCACAGAGATGATCCACACATCTTTACAAAGCACTGTTGAAGTTAGATGGACTGTTCTGAGCATGAGTCTTCTGTCTGTCGAATTCATTACAGTATGACCTTAGTGCTCTTTAGTGCTATTTTATGATGCAGATTAAATTAACTGTGTAAGGCAAAACTATTAATAATTTTAAATGTATTCTTTTTTTTAAGGGTCAGCTAAAGGGTAAAGATATTGACTATGAAAGAAAAAGTGATCTATATAAAGATATAGTCACATTTTTAAGGAAGAGATCACCTAAATTTGTAGAAAATGTGGCTAAACAGGTATGTCTTTACTGGTACTAGGTGTGTCTTCCTCTTTGTACAAAAGTACCATGGTGAGAATTGCATTATAAACCTAGCTGAACATTTCTGTTCTTTATCAAAGATAAACCTATGATTAAATGAAGAATTTTGAAGACTGAAATGCATTTATTATTTTTCTTTGGATTTGTTTCAGTTTCCACTAAATATGTTTCTTTTGTAAATAGCAAATAATAGACCATTTCAGATATTATACTATCATACCTTCTGATGAGGTTTGATCCAATATGTGAGGTCAGCTTCCAATTTTGCATAAAATGTTTTGCTCATCTTCTGGTATTGTCCTTTATGGAACACTGGAAATGTTAAAGCAAGAAAATGTGATATCCTTATGAAAAATGTCAACTTTTTATGACAATATTTTTCTGTGATCAAAACCACTTGAATTTTTATCCTCATTCTTTGTGACCCAAACATAAAAAATAGCCCAACTTTTTTTATGCAAAGTGCCTGATTTAAATATCAATGCTGAGAGTTAAGCATCCACCTTAAACACTATGTCTTGCTTCAGCCACTGTAAAATGCAAGTGTTTTGGCTGTTATTTGGAGCTCTATGTTAGCTAGAATCACACTAGTTGTGTCATTCTAGTTTTAGTCGTTTCATCATTCCCAATAAAAACCTCTTTGTTTTTAGATTTGTGGTCATAGCAGAATTAATAACTTGCTGGTTAAATTCATTACAGGCCAAAACCTGACAAAAATTTATTGTGGTTATCTATATGCAATTTTAATCATACCATAGAATCATATCATGGAATTTAAGGGTTGGAATGGATCTTACAGATCATCTAGTCCCAATCCCACCTGCTATGGGCAGGGACACCTCCTCACTAGACCAGGTTGCTCAAGGCTCATCCAACCTGGCCTTGAACACTGCCAGGGTCAGGGCAGCTACCACGTCCCTGGGCAACCTGTTCCAGGATTATTATTGCAAGAAGGAAGTAATTAACAGGGAAATTTTCTTATCCTTTAGTTCTGATTTTCTGTGATGTAGGGCTGACATTTATTTTTCTGAGATACAGGTATTTGACAGTTCTGAAAGAAGGGAGCATTTCAAGCTGTACACATACATAGAGTAGTTTCTATTAACAGTAAGAATTAAATTATTGAGTTGTTCTGTTTGAAAGAGCAGTAAGTTCCAAAGTTCTTCATTTATCTCATAGGCAAGGATTTTTTTAATGCTATACCTACATATTGGTTTACACATCATAAATGGGACAACATATGAATGGTTTTAGACACAGTTACCGGTTTAATGTATTTTCAGTAATTTGGCTTCATTTTGTGCTCATGAAAAGTAATCTATGCTAATATTTTCATATTTTTTACAGTTCTAATCCTAAATGTCAATATAGATTAATGTTACTATTGACAATCGAGATAATATATCTGCCTTCACTGGTTTTCTGCCCATAAAAAGATATTGTAACTATTCAAGAAATGTGTACACTTATTAAAGAAGAGTCAATAAATAGAATTTATCCGATTTTCCTTCAATTATCCTATAAATTGCACAGTCAGTATTCCCTGACCATACTGAAGAATATAAATGATACCTTTTTTAATGATTTAGGAATATAATATCCCCTTGCCTTGCTGAAGCACTGGTTTAGTAAATTCTTCCTTCTAAAACTAGAATTTAAACAATTTAATACTGTAGAGCTGCAGAACATTTGTATCTGAGGGAAAATCTTCTCTGCTCTACAACTCTGAAAAGCACAGAAAAGCTGCATTTCCAAGTTTGCCTACATGAAGTAAAATATGAATAGAAATAGTTTTGATTTATTTTCTGAGTAGAGGAAAGCTTCAGAAAGCTCATTATGTACACATATATTGCCAAACCAATTAACTTTTATGATATCTGTCTGGCCTTGTTTAAGCCAACATCCAGAATTGCTGTGTTGGCATACAATGCTGTAGGAAACATATTTTTTAACTATGCTTAGCTGGTCAAGCTACAGCATCAGTTTCCCTGTGATTTTTCTGGTTTATCATGTGCTAAATTGTCTTATCTCGAGCACATTTTCAGAGAGAGAGAATTAGCATGAGTTAGTTTGGAATGAGACAGTTGGTTGGGCAAGGCTGGAACAGCTGATCCACATCAGGGACTAGTCAAAAACAGACCATACTGTGAGAGTCTCCTTAAAACTGCCTTGAATCAGATCCATAAAGGAATGTCTTCACCTATCTGGTAGTGACAGCTGCAATAATAATAACGATGATAATCACTAACGATCTTTCCTATAAAAATTGAATATGTTCCAGTAGTGAATGAAAGTTGACAAGAGTCCTTTCTGTTCTGTGTATTTTTGATCAGCCATGGTGCTAGACACAGACAGCTGAAGGATTGGTAGATGCCACTCAGCTCCATTCTTGTATGTGACTTGTTTTGTCCTGAGAGACAGAGGATGAAAACACTGAAATGGAATGTGTTTATATTAACTCTAAACTATATCAAATTAAATTACTTGGAACTGAAGTGTAGCAGTTTATGATAGCCTACTTTCAGTATTATGTGCACCACTTGTTGGTGAGAATTTTTTGTAAATCCTCTATGCAGGGAAATAGTGTTTATGTAAATGATCCATTGAAAGCAGAATGACTTTGCAATTCTAGATCTTACAGCTCATTTGGAATTAGGTTCTATAAAAATGCTTGTGTCACTAATTATTGGACATTTTAGAAATTGAACAACACCAAATAGTCAGGTCTGTTCAGGAAGTTCCAGATTGAGCTTGTTAGTTCATTTATTTCAAAAACTTTAATTTGCACAGGATAGCCACTACTTTCCTAATTCATGTTTTGTTCTTTTAAAGACAGTATTTTTTGTGTTTAGAATCTAATTCTGCATTTCATGCATACAATTTTTAACACATAATCCTAGAATTGTGCTTATAACTTAGTGTTTTAATAGACATGATTCATATAACAATATGACCGACAAACAATGTCTCCTTTTATTAGGAATATGTTTTTTTTAAAGAACCAGCACATGAGAAGAATTATCAGTATGTGGAAGTGGTTGATGCTAAGGCTTCTGGCCAATCCCAGAACCCTAATGATTTTACAGAGGAGAATGTATGTGAGAACCTGAAAAGTTCTGTAGCAAGGAAGAGATTCATTTGCAAAACATTAGAACCATCTATGATGTGGAAGAATACCAGGCTTTCTGCTTCCCACAGATAAGTAGTTATCTTTGTCATTGAATTTTCCTATAGATCTCTCTAAACTCTGCTAATAAATTGACTACAGGTTATAAGTTTGCATTTTTGTCTAGTTAGGGCAATAAACCAAAATTTACTACTTGTTAATTTCTACGAAGAGAGTTCTTAAGTTTTTTTCTGTCATGCAATGTTTTTGATGTTATGTCATTTTCACAGGAAAGCAGGGAAATATCTTGCAGCCACCTGCAGTACTGATCCTCCAGGACTGTGATATCATAATATTTTTGGTGTAAAATGCAGGACAAGGTAGAAAATCTAATCAATCCACACTTTCTGAGGGAGGCAAAAGTGATCCGTAACAGAATGACTCTTACTTATTGCTACCAATTTTTAATGATTTCATATTATATCAGCCACTTTTCTAGCTCTGCTTAGCAACAATCTTCAGTAATGAGATTATCTCAAAGTTTGAACACCCAAAATAGTGTACATATATTGGATATTGTTGGATTTGTCTTCTGAAATCAGAACTGTGTTTTGTTTTCATGTTTCCTGATTTTGTGTTCATGGAGGAAAAGGAATATCTGAAGAAAAGCTTTTGATTGCCATCTTACAAAAAACAGGCAATATCTTCTCAAGTCTGCCAAGAAACATTTTAAGAGATATTGGATGTGACCTACAGTCATCAGTTCAAAAAAGTTGACTTTCCAGGGCAAGAACTAACCTTTTTCCACGTTGTTAAAGTCTAGATTTAGTGAAATTAGCTGTAATCATAAGTAATATTTTCTTCTATTGCTGTGACTGAGATAGAGTGACCAGCCCAGGCTCAAAAAGACATTTTAAGTTAGGGACGATAAAGCACCAGAGATTTTGCCCAGCTGGGCCTAAGAGTCTTTTTAGAATATGAGGAAAGCAACATATGATCAAAGCTATGAAACATCTCGGTGTGTGGAAGAACTAGGCAGAGTAGAACTCTTCTGCCTGGAAAAAAAGGGTGACTAGAGGAGAAGAAAAATAAAGATAATCATGACTGGGGACAGTAAATAGGAAACAGATAATCACTGTCTCTTCTAGGGCAAGAATAAAGGGCATCAAATGAAAACGAGCCAGTGAGATCAGTTTAGAACAAAGGTAGACACTTCTTCATACACCACATAGCTAAGCACAAATTCTTTGCCTGACAGCAAATTCATTTATTTATGTGAGTTCAAAAAGAAACCAGGCACATTCATTGAAGAAGAATCCATCCAAAAATGTTAAACGCGTGGACAATCCAGAGTTCTCTGCATCACAATCTGGTGAAGAATATTCTGGAAAAAATAATTTACATGTACTTTCTTTTTTTTTTTTTTAATAAACCCAAATATTTTAGTGACAAGGCTTCAAAAAAAGATTCTGGAGGAGAAGGGAAAAGTAGTAATGTATCTCTGAAAATAAAAAAGAAAGCTGTTGGCACTTCTTCAAAATCTGTTAAAATTCAACGGGTGTCAAAAAGGTATGGGTTGCTTATTTCTCTTCCTGCATTTTTTCATTTTTATTTTCCCTTTCTACAGTAATTATCACCATACTTGCTGTTTGGTAATGTCAGTTGTAGTTTTCTAATTCTTTTATTAGGTAGTGTTGTCATGCCTGCTTGAAACGTGCTTGTCTATATTAGTTTACAGCTGTTTAAAATTGGTGATTCTGTTTATTTATATTCAGTAAAACATCAGTCAGGTTTGAAGATCTCAGTGAAAGCTCCTCAGAGACTGAGGAAGATGAAGTGCAGCATCTACGTCGTCAGGAAAGAAACACTGATTTATCACCAGAATACTGGGGAATTCAGAAACTTGCCAAATATGTAAAGGTAACTAAGAAGCTTTGATAAATTGTATTGAAAAAAAAAAAAGATACCAGACCAGCTCCTCACCCTTTCCACATTCCATGTATTTTAGAATAGCTCTGCTATGCAGTATGTTCAAATCCTGGAACTGTGGACTTTCCTATCACACACTTACTTTTAATCTGCTATTTTTGGCTTATATAGACCTTTAGATTAAACCATCTGTTCAGTGTTATTTAAAACGTAAGATGGTATAGTCTCTTTATTAATTATTGGGTTTCTGTTTTGCTTTTTGTATGAAACTTTCCAAGATATTTCTTTATGTGGATAATAACTTTCAAGAGTTTTTATTAAAACTGAATAGTTGCCTAAACTCTTTCATCAGCTGTGATTAATGCATGACTGAAGTAATTCTAACATGGTCTTGTGTCTGGATAGATGCTTTAGTGGACAAGAAAATATATGATAAACAGGCATCCTCTAAAACAAACCAAAAAAAAGCTCTTTTTTTTTTTAACACAGACTTGTTGAAAATCTTTTGGAACCTATAAATATAGATATTTAGAATTCTGAATATGTCTGAAACACATCAAAAACCCAACAACCCTCTACTATTCTGGAAAACTCTAATTATGTTTTTCCCTCAGGAGAAATTCCTTTACAACTTTGTGCTGGAATTTATGTTCTGCTAAGTTACTAATAAAAGCACTGGCTTATTTATTTTTGTGAGTACAGCTACAGAGTGTACACATCCGACTGATAAAATGATGGTGCTGGCATTTGGTACAGCAGGAAGAGTAAGTCATATGAGGAGCAGCTGACAGAGTTGAGGGAGTGTAGCCTTGGAGAAAAGGATGCTCAGGGTAGTCCTTATCGCTCCCTACAAATCCCTGAAAGGAGGTTGTAGCAAGATGTGGTTGTTCTCTTTTCCCAGACAGCTCGTGGTAGGATGACTGGACATAGTCTTCAACTGTGCCAAAGGAGGTTCAGGTTGGACATCAGGAAGAATTTTTTCACTGATAGGGTTGTTAAAGCATTAGAACTGCCCAGGGAAGTGGTGAAGTCACCATCCCTAGAAGTATTTAAGGAACAACTGGAAGTGGCCCTTAGAGCTATGGTTTAGTTTACATGGTGGTGTTCAGTCAAAGGTTGGAGTTGATCATCTTGGAGATCTTTTCCAACCTTAATGATTCTGTGATACTATGAATAAATGCTTGGGAGGAATAAGGAAAGTTTTGGCTCCTCCCAGTCCTTTAACCATTGTAGAAGAGTAACTCAGCCCTTTAAACTGTATTCAGAGGACTCACACTGCTTGTTCTCAGTTCATGTATGTGGGACCTTGCTAGTGGTTGTACCCAAAGAGACAGAAAAACATGGATAATACAAGTCTCTGCAACTATCTTTTCTAGGTTGGACCTCTATATTCTTGTCATTTTGCCTATGGTAAAATAATCCTTTGCAAATGTAATCTGGAGTAACATTGAGCATGTATTGTGCTCAGCTGTTCCTAATGCTGAAGACACAATGTATACATTTTACAAGATACATTCGTTCCTATTCTCATGCAATTACAGTGAAAGATACTCGCTGAAGACACATTTTACAAGATACATTCGTTCCTGTTCTCATGCAATTACAGTGAAAGATACTGTTTTCACAGCTTTCAGTCTGCTAATAGTTTGGTTCTGTGTTATGGAGCAGCTCTCTGTACTATTCTGAGAGCTCAGAGAAATAGCCATGCTGCTTTTTAATAAATACCCATGTCCTCCTGGAGAAGAGACTTGAAATTCATTACTGCTGATGAACTCTCAGTAATCTTTTCATTGGCCCATTTATGTACCACCCTCTTTACCAACAAGGCTCTTTGCTTCTGGTTACATAATTCTCAAACTCCCTTTCCTCTCTAGATCTTTTATATAGTCTTTATATTTTAGTACAGGACTTGATTCAGCATAGAAATTCATATCTAGGCTTGCATGAAACCATTCTGAATGAAGAGTGAGAATGGCAAATGGGAAAATATGTTTCTCATGCACCTCTGTTTTAGAAATTAGTATATCGTATTCCAGCTGTCAACAAGCAAAATTACATAATAGTTTAGAACTAGGAAAAGAAAGGAGAGCATTTTTGATCAAATAGCAAGTACCTGTTAAGAAGTTTATAGTACAAAATTCCATAATATGAAAAAGTTTTATTATGAAAATTCAGATGTATCCTCACTTATGTATTCATGGACACCTGAGTCCTCCAATAGTTCTTTAAATTAAATGTCAATTAAACAAAGCATTTGAAGATATATTTTAAATAGTTCTGTGTTGATTCTTAGCTACGTAAAGCAAGAACTCCCTAGTGTCAGATAAAGCTGGAAGAGATGCCTCAGTGCCATACCACAAACAGTGGTTGAAATGTTTTATTGATGGAGTGCTACTTTAGCTTGCACATGGAATTCATTTTAATTCAAGTATAAATATTGCACTTCTGGCCAGACTTAGGAGATTTTTTGGCATTCTTGTTGTTCATGTAGGCAAGTGTTCATGACACATGCAACGTAAGAGAAAATAAATTTATGACTGTGTTATTTAAGTACCTACAAGCATATTTGTATAGCAGCACAAATTTCAAAGGTTGAATACATTGTTTGCACATCTAAAAAATTTAACAAAGTGCCTTAAATAATAAATGTTTGAGACACTAAGAAAATACAATCATGTGTAGAGGCAACCGGTTTTGAATGTCTGCTGAAAGTAAATGTGAATCACAATTCAATAAGACTATAAAAGATCAATTTGCAAACAAAAAATTCTGTAAAACCTGAAAGATATGTAGTTTTTACACCAATGCTAGATTGTCATTAAATGTTTAAAGGACAGTTGCTTTTTCCATAAAGCAAACTTGCTAGATGCTGTGAGTTGTGCTTGTAGGCTCTGTACTTGTACACCTCTTCAATGGAGAGAAAATTCCAGCGCAGGGGAAATTCCCTTCTGACTTTTTGCCCTTCTCCACTCCCCTTCCTTTCTGGGAAAGA